GAAAGGTTGAAGAAATGCAAAATTATTAATGGGAGGCTCCCCAGGTTTCTGCATGATGAGACTCAAGCTGAAATCCATGAACGGTTTACTGAAATCTATGTCCTCTTCTCTTGAGGCTGTTATTGTTATAGGGGCGAGTGCCATGTCTCTTTTCTGATCAATCGATATATACAAATTGTTTAATATTAATAAGATATATACAAATTGTTTTTATTAATATCAATACGCGGCAATTAAGCAAAGTGAGTTTTCTCGCCTAATTTCGTCAAGTGTCCTAAGACGTTTTGACCTGGGTTGTAGGTCTTAATTCAAACATTCTTCTAAAACAACATTTTGAGGTATTCCGGGGAACAAGTCGGGTATTAGGCACTACGGTATGTTACGCGAATAATACTTTCATTCTCAGAGTCATGATAACTAAGAAGTTGATCTGAACCCTCTCTATGAGTTTTTGTTGTTTTTTTGTTTAGTCCTTTTGCTCTTAGGGAAATCTTCGTCAATAAAATATGTTTAAATAACAAAAAATTGATCTGAGTGTCCCGGGTTCCACCTGTTAAGTGACTATAAGTGGGGGACACCAAAATGATTTAATATAATCGCAACTTATATTGAAATAATAATTTGTGCATCACCTGTTCTTTGAGTTCATCAATCATATTTTGATACTTGGTATCACCTCTCAGGTAGATTTCGTACTTAAAGTTTGCCTCCTTTGCTAACTCCCTGATTAAATCGATAAGAAATCCTTGAACATCTCCGTCTTTCACCTTCCCTGCTACATCTTTTAGTTTTGCTGATTTGTTTGTAATCTCCACGAAAGGACGCTCCTACGAAATTATACATTTAGTATTGAGTATCATTATTCATTTCAGTATAGAAACGATTTTCACTTCCACTTTTCACTTTTGATATTGCACTCATGCATAACAGTCCCTAAGTGACATAAATCAAAAGAGAGCTAATAATAGCTGGGGAGAACAAAACATTTTATCGGTGCGCAATGGAGGAAACTCCCATTCTCAGTATTAAGACCCTTTTCAATTACCTTTTTTATCTTTCAGTCAATAAGGAAGAGTTACAGAAGAGAAGATCGACCCTTTCTCATGAGCTTAAGGTTGAGCTAAGATAACTTCTCTTCCACTCGTGTAAGGATGAATCATTAAGAAGGGACCTTAAGACAATACGACGGTGACGGCCACGAAAACTTTAAAAAGCAATAAGTTTTTTACAACAACAACTTTGCACGGGCATCACGCTTTTCTGCCAAGTTCGTTGCCATATCTGCACAACTGCGACGGGAAGTGACCGGCACAGTTTAAGTTCGGTTTGAGAAACTACAGGCATGGCGAAAGCTGTTGCTGTGTTTTCCGAGTTCCGACGCTGTCCTTTCTCTTTAGCTCCACCTTCGAATTAATTTCCCAGCTTGTGAAAGACTGAATGAGTTAAAGTTCTCGTAAAAACGTTGTAAAGGTCTGGTCCAAGTTGTTCAAAGGGTCTGGATAACGCTATTGAATGGATAAATCTGTATCTAATGGATAACTAAATCGGTTTCCCTAATACTTATTCGCCACATTGTTATTTATCCAGAGAAAGCGCTATGCAGCGTTTGAACAATAGTGACCAGATTTGCGAGATCCGGCAGTTTTCAGTGATCCGGGCCTACCGCTTTGAAGTCTGGTATTCAAACAACTGACTCAACAAGTCGACGGTATGAAGACGAAAACGGATTTTAACGTTTAACATTTCCAAAGAACATCATAGTTAGTAAAGGACACTGCATGGTTATGAGAGACAGCAAACATTAAAGATAAAATCGAGTAAAAGCCACGGTGCCTCAGTTTATGTTGACTTGGAAGCTCCCCGACGGTGAATATTCCTTTGTTTTCTGTTCACAAATTATAACTCAATAAATTAATGTAACGTTTTTATTGGTCAATAAGATCTAAATGATGGGAATGCTATTAAACGTTGTGCACCGTGTCAGGTCCACAAAAACATATAACAAAGGAGTCTGAAGGGCTTCATAACAATTCTTTTCTATTAACTATGGCAACGTTGTCATTATAACCATTGACCTATGTAGAGCGTTTTCAGTCACGAGGCCAGCATCTATGCAAATTCAATGGAACATTTAAAGAGAGCGTTTGCATAAGAAAATAGTTCAACTTCCACAGGATTGGTTTGGGACCTCAACTTGGCCGCCGCTTCATTATTTCGGGACACCAATATGGCCCGCCGTGACGTCATGTGAGAACACTCTAAAGGAAACATCACTGCTTACAAACACTGTTTTTGTCGGCATTCAAATTTGTTACGAGTGAAAAAAGAATCTGTTACAAGAACCAATGCCCCTCTGGTTGATACATTAATATCAACGGGTGACATCAGTGAGAGTATCGCTATTCAGTACAACTCTTCCATAATACTAAAAGGTCATTTCCGAGTTTAAAAAATTCTCATTTTCAAACTGACGAGGCTAAGTGCAAAAGCCTCATGTGAA